CCTATTTATCCTTGCCAGTGAAGGAAAAACAAAAATCATCGTTCATAAAGAAGCCCTGATTTAAAACAGGTTCGTAATTTATTTTCAAAAATCAAACCTAAGTTTGTTGTGTTTTTTTTTTTGTTTTTTTCATAAATTCACAAAATATTTTTTACCCATCAAAATATGGAACTGGGAAACAGAGAGAGAGAGAGAGTAGTTTTTTTTTGTTGTTTTTTCGAAAACTCGGGCAACGCCGGGTAACGCTACTAGTCTTATATATATATATATTGTGAACCGTGGTTTCTGTCCGAGCGTTCGTTTGTCTCCCGTTTGAAAAGCTGCGTACGCAAGCAAAACTCAACATTCACTTTTGAAATGACGTCAGAACAAGCATGAATAATGTTGATTCCAAATTTTATTTCGCAAGCAGGATATTCTACACTAACTTGTTAGGTTAGGAATTAATCACACTATCGTTCACATTTCAAAATGTGACGTAAGTTAAAGAATAAAAATGTAGATTTACCGTATGTTATTGTTAAGCAGCTCTTAGCATGACTGAAATGCTCAACAATTACTTTTAGCGGTGGGCGAGATAAGAAACCAAGAGTGCAACACAATTAACCTTTTTAAAAGTCCATGAAATAATTTAAATTGATAGATTAACTTAAACTTTTTCAATCACAGGGAAATGATACTTTTGCTTTCGTAATATAAAGAATTTAAAAATTAAAAGTGAACAGAGTCATTGATTGATATTGGAACACTCAACAATATAAAATTTGTGATTAATAAGTAACAAAAGAAGTTAACAGTGGTAAGCAAATTATTTATAGATATTGACACATATATTCAACAATGTTACGTAAGTGACTCGTGAGTTGTTAGAACAGTCAATAATGTAACGCGATTTACAGGAAAGAAAACAGTTAACATTGTTACGCAAGTAAATAACGGGTTTTAAAACAAACAATTAAAAGTTCAACGCATGTCATTCACGTTCATTAAAACAACGGTATAAGGCAAATGATTCGCGGGTATTAAAACATTACAGTAGTGGTTAACACTAACTCACAAGTTACTTAGGGCACTAAATACAACAGTGGAACGTAAGTGATTTATATTAAATATATTAATATTCAAGATTTTTAAGAAAACAATGTAACAGTTTAATATCGAGCTACTTAACATCTTTAAGACTTTAAACATTCGTCGCACGGAGTGTATTATAGACGGTGGAAAATACCAAAGCCTCGTATTACAGCCTTACATAAAGTACCCGTGTATTATTTGTAATGTCACCCCAGTGGGTAAGCCGTAAGCTTACGGACTTACAACGCTAAACTACGGGGTTCGATTCCTTGTAATGGACAGAGTGCACATAGCTTATTGAGTTAAAACAAATAATATTTGTAAAGAAAATGCCACTATGTCTTAAATTTAACGAGTTATAACAAAATTAACTCTACATAGGATATTAGCTTCAGTACACATTCAACATTACCAATACAATAAAGGGTTATACAATGTAAGGATGTTAATATCACCCAATACAATTAAGACGTCCGTAATGGTCTAATTCTTAAAATCAGATGACGTATCATAGTTCGATGATACATTACAGTCCTTAATAAACAGGG